ATATATATATATATATATATATATATATGTGTGTGTGTGTGTGTGTGTGTGTGTGTGTGTAATTTATTTATGTATTTATTTATAGGGTTGAGTAGCTTTTTTTGAATGTATCTTCAATAATAGCAGAGGTGTCTCTCACTGCTTCATATGTATGAGATGAACAAGTCTGCATGTCTTGGTCTTCCAAACCTAAATGCAAATTGTGATTTTTAATGTTTTTATCTTTTATTTTCATATTTTAAACTTTTGCTTCCATTTAAATCTGTTGTGTTGATTTTGGATGCGCTTTACTGTACATTATTAAATGATATATTTACACTAGTAAAAATAATCAACACTGAGGTATAGTAAAACCCTGAACACTAACAGCAGTGTTCACTTAATGAGAATTATAATTACACACAGGCATAGTGTTAAATTAACTCAGAGTTGAATTAACACTACCAATTTTACAGCACTTCAATTTTCTTTTGGTGGTTTTAAAAATATCTTAAAAGGGACCTATTGTTAAAAAAAATACTTTTATAAGGGGTTTAACCACAATTGTGTGGTAACAGTGTGTGAATATAGCCAACCTTTTAATGTTACATGTAGTAATTCTATTTTTATAATTATAGACTTGATGGAAACAGCCTGCAGAAACACTTTATTTGACATTCTTTGTACGTGTCATCAGAGGGGGAAAGCCCCGCCCACTCATGCTCCGCCCTCCGCGTGGGACCACAATCTCATTTGAATTTAAAGCGACAGTCACCAGAATGGAACAATTAGGTTCACAGTCTAAAACGATTGAGTTTAAATAGATTGTTATCCGACCATCAACTGTTGCTGTAAGTCTGATACAAGTTTAATTTATGGAAAAAATTACAAAGCACTGCAGTGTCTGGGTGTTCTGTGTTAGTCTGAGACAATCAGTCTACTGAAATGTGTTTATTAATATAAAGTTTGAAGCTGATCAGTCAGTTCCTGTCACGTTGCTGGCAGTGTGCTGGCGGCATTTATTCAACTGGGTGAGTTCAGCTGTACTCGTCCATTGGAAATAATGAACTTGCGCACAGAAAAGATGCGATATGTGAATGGCCTCTAAAATGCCGCCGTCATTTGGGATCTTCAGCAGTTGATCTTCTTGCACAGACATGCTGGATTCACCTGATTTGTTTACAATTGGGTTGCTGATTCATTTCTTGGCACTTTGCTGGTCCTTCACTTGTCCTTTTTCCTTTAGCATAGAATATTTCCGAAGATGTCTGTTTCTTACTCATTTTGCTGCTTGTGAGTTGCATTTAAGTCACTTTAGTGCCCAAATTTAAGCAAGAAAATCCTGTCATTTTTCAAAATAAAAGACTTTTTAAAATTTAAAGATCGTTCAGACTCAGAAAATAAATAAAACGGAAATAATGAATAATTTCTTGTGTGGCCCTGTACCAATTGATCCACGGTCCGCAGCCTGGTGGTTGGGAACCACTGTTATAAAACATCCTTTGTGTGGTCATTTGAGCTGAATCTTCACATACACTCTAGGGACTTGTATTTCATACATTAAAAAGGGGGTATCCTCATAAAATCAGCAGAAACCCTAATACAAATATAGCCGATGAAATTAGGTTTCAAATCATGGTGCATTTTTAGTTAACAAACAATCCGCAACAATAATTGAGTAGATGAGCTGACAAGCAGCACTGAATGCCTACTCCCTTGATTGCTCAGGGTCTGTAAAGTGATCTACAGGTGATTATGGAGGCTTTATGATGGTGTAATCCCACATCAGTCTCCTCTTCTAAAAGAAAAAGAACAAATCCTTGTTTACCCTCAGAATCCAGCCAGTCACTGACCATTACAACCTCATTCCTGCCAAACAGCAAGAGCTCATGTTAGAGGTCAAACGGTTCACGCTGAATGACGTTACATCACTGCGGAATTTTCCATCTTCTCTGATAGAATGCAGATTCCGAAACGGAACACGGAACTCGCTTTGAAACCTGTTCTGGAGCTTTGTTTTCCATGGTAATCGAAAACAAAAAGAGTCGTATAATGGGATGGCTTAATATATATTGATTTTGTAACGTTGTGGAAAGGTTGTTTGCTAATCAGAACTGAATTGGTTTCTTTCTCGGCGCCTGACCTCCGCCAGGCAATCACAAACGGCCATGTGGATCTGTGGAGAAATTTAGCCAGAGTTCCTACACACACACACACACACACACACACACACACACACACACACACACACACACACACACACACACACACACACAGTTTATCAGAGCAAATGGAAAAGCAGTGAGAAAGAAAATAATTTCATCTCAGCGGTTCCGAGACAAGGCGTTCTGTGAATTCATCAGGGGTAAAATATGATCAGTTTAACAGCGGCGGAAGAGATGATTCACTGTACGAGCACAGAAAACACTTGAACAACAGATGGACCAAAAACAGAGAGAAAAGACTTCATATATTTACATTCATACACTGTAAAAAGATCCTGTTGCCTTTAAATTGAATCAGTTTAACCTTCATTTTTAACTTGGATTACATTAAATGGCATGAATAAAATTACTTAGAAACGTGATTCATTTTGTTTAAAGGATGGTTCAGCAACAAATAGGGATGTCCTGATCAGGGTTTTTTTCCCCTTGAGTCCGAGTCATTTGATTTGGAGTAACTGCCGATACTGAAACCCGATCCAATACTTTTGTAATACATAAAGATGAGATAAGAAACAGATCCAGGATGTTCCTTATATTGTATTTAATTCACCTTATGTTAACATTTAACAACTCTGTTAACAAACAGAGCTCTTCTGTGAGGTAGCTTGAACAATCAAGTCATAAATAACATCAATTCTTCACTTTTTGGACTTTAGTGCAACAGTAAATATAAAAAAAGTCTGCTGATCTACTGGAATTTTCACGCACAACCATCTCTAGGGTTTACAGAGAATGGCCTGAAACAGAAAATATCAAGTGAGCGGCAGTTCTGTGGGCGCAAATGCCTTGTTGAGGTCAGAGGAGAATGGCCAGACTGGTTCCAGCTGATAGAAAGGCAACAGCAACTCAAATAAGCACTCGCTACAACCGAGCTCTGCAGAAGAGCATCTCTGAACACACAACACATCCAACCTTGAGGCGGATGGGCTACAGCAGCAGAAGAGCACACCGGGTGCCGCTCCTGTCAGCAAAGAACAGGAAACTGAGGCTACAATTCACACAGACTCACCAAAACTGGACAATAGAAGATTGGAGA